TAACCGAATGCCACTGGAGAGTTGTCGATGATTATGGTTCTTCGCAAGTCTCGGCCAAGAATTGTCAAATCTTTGACATAATTTCCGTTCACGTTCAAACAGTGCTCGCGGAACAGTCTGTACCTATTAAAACGCCGAGGGAAAGAAATCTTTTTGAAGGTGCTTGACCATCCCGGTATCCAGTCGAAAGAAAGATAATTTTTAACTGAGTGTAGCGCTACGATATCCCTGTTTTTTTTTTTTAAAGAAATCGTGAAGTCACGTTTGAATTCTTCGAATTTTATCAGATCCCGAGAGAAAATACTCTCTTCGACCATCATTTAAACGAGCCATTCGGAAATGCCGCATTTACGTAAATACGAGACGCCCAAGAATTAATTGCGTCTAATTTCCCGTGCGAATTGCTGCTTCATGGGATGGTCCAGATATTTGCACCCAATACAATTAATATGACATGAACCTACTGACCGCATTTTAGCTTTTGAGGGTAATTTGAAAGCTATGATGCGAACAAAGTGCAGTAATCTGAAAATTCAAAGTTTAAGTGTGAGACGCCAGCGAAGAAATTCTTACATCGGGTACTGTATTTTCGTTGATCAATCCTAAATTCCTAATATATTATTTCAATTTTACGGGTTTACAGGCTCTGATTTCAATATTTGTTATTAAAGGAAACTTGGTGTCGCCATTGAACATTTGTTTGCCTTTTTTCCCCGCCGTAGTTCAAAATACTGTGAATCGGGTGACAATGAATCGATGGAGCATATAATTTGCGTGAATACGGTCTTTTTGAAGGTCTAAAATATTTTTATTTTGAAGCTTTCATTAATCTTGATGAAACGAAGTGCATTCTTCTTCGTTGAAAATCTGGAAGCTGCAGTTAAACACGTCTCTTCTGTTCGTTGTTTTTATTTTTGTATGCTTAGATCTTCAAATTTTGTCAGCGTTAAATAATGGGAGAAATCCGGAATTCTGTAATCACTTTCTGCCAAGCTTGCCAAAGAGTTCGCAGTACTGAAAGGTCTCACGATATTTTTGAAATTTTCAGGTTTTTTCGTTTATTCATGAACACCGTAATTTTCGATGTCTTTGTGCGTGATATGCAGTGAGACTCGTTTAATGCGATGGTAGTTTTTATATTGCGAACAATTATGTGCTGCACTGTACTTGAAGCTTGTTATTCAATTTTTTTCAACGAGACATTTTCTGCAAGCAAAGATTCTCTTGATGGTTCCGAAAAATTGAAACTTCCTTCAGACTTTCTTCGAGAAAATACTTACTTATAATAAGAAAAGAGAAGATGTCGTTTCCATCCCCACGTTTTTGGACTGGTGGTTTTTGTTTAATGAAAGGAAATTTGACTTCATAGAATGAAATTTGTTAAAACTTGCCCCGTTTGATTTTTTTTTTCGTGTGCAAGCAGCTCCTCTGCCATACTAACTCTGTAATGTATAAAAAAGTTCTTGGTCCCTCGGGTGTTCTTATTAAAAAGAATCATTGTCTGAGGTGAACTTTCTACGCATTTCTAAAGTTTTGCATGCGTCAAAACGTACGTAAAACTTTTGCTTGGAAATTCTCTACTGCTTGCACAATAAGTTTTGGACATGCCTTGCTGAAGTGTGAGAAACTCACTTGATCAAGCGTCGGTTGGGGTCGATCATGTTGATGAGCTTGTCGGCGTAGCTGCGCTCAGAGGCTGTGAACACAATGACTTCAAACATCTTGGACACTGTTTCTAAGAAGCACTTGTAATGCGGCCGTGTTTGCACAAATACCTCCCGAGTTTTCCCATCATCGAACCGCATGTGGAATGACATGGACGCATCTTCAGAATTTTCCAGGCTACAATGAACCAGTGTTTCATCCTGCGTTTGGTCAAAACATCTAGTTTTTGGATCATTTTTGTTGTTGCGATTTTGATTCTACTTACGAGATCCACGACGAGTGAGAAAGCAGGAGTCGATCGTGTTTTCAATGGCAAAGCTGGAGTTTTCGCCCGCATTTCCGGACTTAGAATGGGCAAGTTCTTGATGATCGCGTAGGGATTATTGAACAGGAGGTGATGCGAAATCGGAAAATGTGAGTAGATCGTTTCTTCCATTTGCTCAACGATTGTTTCGGTTTCCTCATCTATACAAGCGAAGAGTTTCTTTAAACAGAAATATACACTGACGGAAAGTTTTCTACGTACCGTCGCTGCTGACCTCCAGTGTGTTCTGGAAGGTTTTGCACATGTCT